AGATCTGAGAAGGAAGACCGTGACAGAACAGAACAAGACAGTGATAATACAAGCGGGAATAATTTTTCAAAGAGCAAATCGGTTCAACTTAAGGTCCAGTCTTGTCGGAACTATTCTCCATACTAGCACTGTTTTGGTTTCTTCAGTTGAAACGGCCCTCAGTAAATCAAATTCAACGGCGACTTTTAAGAGTACGGAAACCCATATTTTGAATTCGTGGCCTCTCTCCCGTTCCAGTATGCTGCCAAAATTGGCTTGTCTGTGGTGTTCCCAAGTGCGAGGAAATCAAGGAAAAATACTATATTTTCCGAATTGAGACACCAATTCCTCTTCTACGTTACAGGAGGGAGACGTTGAAAGAAGTTTTGCGGAGTCTACTAGCCACAGTTGAATTGCTTCCAAAGTGATTGTCAACCGTTAATTCAGTGGTTAGGAGTGTGGAGGATCAGATCTCAGGATCAGATGCATGAGCGTGCTACAGAGGGAGAGTCTTCGGTAGCGTGTTCCGTAGTGCACTCTTCTGGTAAGCGGGAGGTCATTGGTTCATGGCCGTCTCAAGGTGTCTTTTGTTCGTGATGCGTGCACCTTGAATTTTCTATTCGACATCTCCAAAGAATTGCAGGAAATTCGGATTACCGATGGGTTTGTCCAAGTGGATTTTGACCCGACCTAGGCGTCCCATTCGAAACCCAAGTGCACAGGTGCATACGAAACTGGGGGGGTGGGGGTGGCTAGTCAAATCTGGCACGCCCAACAGGCGATCACATCATGGTATCCTTTCTAGTATTGTTTAGAACAGCATGGTTTTTCCAACCGGGCTTGCTCTTTGTGTGCTCAAATCAACGAACACTATGACCCATACACTAGATAGCAAGGTCAACGAAACCGTGGAGGTCTCATAAGTTTTGGAGGTTAGAACGAAATGTTTGTGGTATTCCCGTCACAGTATCAATAGCGATCTCACTCATTTCCAGTTTCCACACTACGGAATCTCTCAGCTTTTCTTGGCTTATGCTTTTTTGCAGTTCATCTACCGTTACCGTGGCGCATGCAGAATACTTGATGCATTTTTCAGTGACATATCCAACGTGACCTATCAGCGAGAAAAAAACTCCTAATGAGCAATTGCCAATCGTCACCGATACGAAGTACGTCATTACTAATCAGATGGAGCGAACTGTATTATAAACGGCATAAACAAACTTTTCACGTGAAATGCAAACGACAGACGTACTTTACTAACTATATTAGGAAATAGAATTTCGAATATGAGCAATAGCTGACAAATTTGACGTCTATGATTGGAATAACCGTTTAACATTTTACCTGTTGTTGGTTAGGAGACTTGGGAACTTTCGTCCTGCAGGTGAAGACAGTCTACGCTGAAAAGCCGAGAAGCACTGCGCAGCTGCTTCACCTTTATCGGGAATTACTAGCAGTGCACATCTCACGAAACTAGTGAAATTCGCGAACCCATCACTCCCTGGCTAGTAGCCTGAACACAACCGTTCGGCTGCGAGCAGCTAATACGAAGTATGATTACCCATTCCCGAGTAACTTCGTGTTTATGAAAGCAAAAGGGAGAAGTGATGGAACATAACAAGTACTTTGGACTCAGGAGGAGCATTTTTCCATAGCATTACTTCAAAAAATAGCCCTGTACATTCCAAATTGAAGACACACTAAACTGTTTGTCGATGCGTGTAGAAAGCATTCTAAGAGAGTAGATATTTAATCGGTCCCTGTCAGAAATAGGCTTTTAAGGTCAATAAAAGGACACCCTCACTTTCCAAACGTTTCACTGGGCACTTGACAATTATCAGGGAGACCCCATGTGCCCTAATGGGTCACTGTTATCACAAAAAGTTCAACAAAACTTCCGACTCATGCAAATACTTGGTAGGATCTCTGTGTGGTATGCCAGGTACAGCCATCACTTCACAGATTAGATATATTTTCATTGTACTGCTCCATATTTCACTATGTGTATATCGTATACATAGTGATTGTCATACAACCCTCATGTGCGTGAATAGGTTAACAATCAACTTTATCAACAAGCCACAAATGTCTCGTATCAATCACTACTCATCATGTTTCCAGAAAAACTAGAACTGTCGTGTGAGCCCCCTTCAAAACCCAATGAACGTTTTCTTCCGAGAATACCTGTGACAGTGTTTAGTGACTGTGCGTCTGCTATTTCCTGTGGGCTTGAATGATACTACTCACTTAGTTGTTGCACCTAAACCGTCCCAAGAATCCACATCTCAGCGATTCATCGTAGCATGTCTTCCTCTACCAGGATGTACACTGAGGATTTAAGGATTCCCAAGCTTCCGCGTTGGGTTGCACTGGCACCGGCCGATTTCTTCCGCACGCTACTGTTCACGATGCATTCGCCCTACCTCAAAGTTGCCATGTCTTCACCAAAAATTCAGGCGGCTTCAACCTACCTAGGCCAGGTAGTCATCATGTCAACAGCCGTGTGCGTGGTAGTTGCCGTGGCTCAACTGCTCACGCAGTTTCACACCGGATGTACTGCTGAGCCAGATGCGTAGGCCACAGTGACGCAAAAGCGCCACCGTATCCGACGCTTTGATTGGCGTGACTCACATTCGGGTTGACGCCAAGGCACTAGCAGCATGCGAACAGTCAACTGGTGACGTAGTCTGCGATACATTTTGCTGAGATGACCTGTCTCGAAAAAATGGACATTTGTGCCCTGAGAGAAAAAGAAGGCCATAATTCCATCAAAAACCTAAGTCGGTAGGCCTCAATATCACGGAATAATGGAATGGTTTTAGGCCTTTAAAAGGTCTCAAATGAGCTTTTTTACGTTTTCTAGGCAAGAAATTTAAGAGGCGAAAAGTTTACTCCAGTTAACCGGCCAATAGAGCTGAATCCAGCCGACAACTTCATCTTTGTCACTGAGAGCAATTTTGGTGGCCCTGGCGATATAAATGAATGGTGTTTTGTTCGCTGAGCCTGGCTAATCGGTTGCAAACGTTTGTTCACCAGACGATGTGACATCATCGGTGCACAGTTCTGTGCGGTACTACGCACTGATGACGTCACATCGACTGGTGACGCGAAACCTCTGAGCTCCACCACTGAGCACTTCTGAGGCGTAACAATCAAAGCTAGTGAGTGAACTTAGTGAGCCTTAATAGCCGGAAAAGTTGGGATAAATCTAGAAACTGGATGCTCTGTAGCCACCTACTCTACAACTTTCATCGAGCTTACCGTAAATCCATCATCAGATTTGTTAGTAGGTGTCGAGTGGTGGTGTTGCGATGAAAATTTGCAAGCTCATCAGAACACTGGTCCTCTTTGTGAGATTCATCAGGTGAAGTAAGTGATTACATATACGGGGTAGTGATTTTGCAATCTAACATAGTTTTGAGGATAACTTGTGTACCAATCCGTTGAGAATTCTTCCGCGCAACGACTGGGGTTCACCTGGCAGCAGCACCTCACTGCCATAGTCTATGCATGAAAATATGCTGAAAGTGTGATCAAACCATAGAAAAACGACAAAATAACATCTCCTACCTATGTAATAAATAATACTAATAATGCTCGATCGCAAGCATAATAATAAACAATCATCCAGCCGTAGCACCCTTCCGGTTCTTAGTTGTCATGACACCCAAAGGAGGCACAAGGGCTGAGATACTGCCAGGTTGTCTAAGCCAAGACAGGAGCAGTTGAGATGAAGAGATTTGGTTCAAACCGCGGTCGGTACATTCAGATTTTAACCACTGAGATACCTATGTAATACCACCTATGTAATACCTATGTAATATGAACAAACCTTTCTGATTGTGACGATTTTTATCAAACGGAAAGCTAGCGACTTACCTCTTTAATTAGTGTGTTCGATTTCAGGTCTGTCGTAGTCACACAACACCGGTTTACATACGATCTCCCTTGAGCTGTGTACTGAGTAAGGCATATCAAGATGTAACTTCGTCTACTTGGATTGAAAACGCCGGATTGGCACAAATGAACGTTTATCTTCTGTTGCTCAAAGTAAAGAACACTCTTCCCTCATCAACATCATCACTATCATCTCCATCGCCTTTATCATCATCTTCATCATCATCATCATCATCATCATCATCATCATCATCATCATCGTCATGATTATCATCGTCACCATCATCGTCATCATCATCGTCATCATCATCATCATCGTCATTGGCATCATCAGCATCGTCATCAGTATCGACAGCATAACATTAGTGTTCAACACTGATGTTTTGTTGCCGAACAGCCATGATTTATTTGAAAGCCTTATTGTGAAGAAAAGAGTAGAAATGAATGGGGAAGTGACTTGGTGCTAGCCTACCCCAAGCATGTCGAGGTGCCTGCATCTCCAGACACTCATTCAGGCAATCTGGACAGCAAATGACAAAAGGAACGCCACTGATATCGATTAGCAGCCATATCTTGCAACACCTCTAACCAGGCGTAGTGGGGATCACGCGGTCCCCATCCTGGAAGGCGAGCAACACCGACAGCAGTCAGATTTTTCATAGCCTCTTTCACACCCGTCGACCAGGTCAACAGTTGACCGCCGTTCTGCTTCCTCCACTCTGAAATAGGCACCGAAAACAGCACTCTCTTCGGCAAACGATGGTTCGGCATGCGCAATACATGATCTAACAACCTTTGGTCCCCTTTTAATCGGTAGGTTTAGTGTGGTGATCAGGCCGAACAAAGCCAAAATCTGCTTTAACGAATACAATATAAGATAAAGCATGCTAGAGGTTTGATTCCTGCCTCAGCTCTCATATTTCGGCTCTGATTAAAGAAAACATAGGCATCTATTTCGAGGGACGGGATAGGAGGTAGTTTTCCCTAAGGGGGCTTTGCTGTTGAAATACGCTTTGAAGGGACGAACAGAAAGTGTCTTTTCTGATGGGTGGATCTTCAAGAGGGGTTTCCCCCTTCATAAAGGATCAACTTTGGCCACAATAAACATTCACATAACTCACCATAAAGCTGACTGAGCACTTCGCGTTCGAACTTGCTCGCGCATGCTAATGGATTCTTGATTCCTGCTCCGTTGTTAACAAATTCCACATGTTGTATGCTTCCCAGAACTGGTGCGTCAATGATGGGCTAACAGAAAGGGACAGGAACGGAAAACAACACATTTAGTACGTAGCTATTCAGATGGATAGATATGTTTATGACATTCGTTACGGTAATATTTTGCTGGCCGATGGAATGAGGATGCTGCAGTGAACACTGCGTAAGATCTACTGCACCTGAAATTGAAATTGGTTTGTAGGACCGGTGAACCATTCGATGAAGTTATCGGGATACTGGATAACCATCCCTAGCACCGTTACAATCCGCGTAGTTCGTGGTTGACGAACTCAGAAAGTTTCCAGGTCTGACAGAAGGGCGTGGAAAATGAAGTTCAGTTTATAAACACAGCTACAGAACCATTTAACATGTCTACCTTCTGGGGTCGGACATGTGTGAGAGTCACGCCTCAGTTTCAGGAAAACCATTTCCCCCCTTTTTCATTCATCGGAATGTTTGGAAAATGTTGGGTCAAAAGGAGAGTTTCGGGCAACTCACTTTTATCTGCTGAACTCTCGAACGGCCCGCGGACATCCCCGACTTATCCCGCATGAAGTGTTGTACGTTAGAACGCTGCCTTTTTCCTTGTCCTCGCAAGATATTGTCTTGGTTGGGGTTCTCAGTTGTGTTCGCAGCTTGTCCAAATTCATTTTTGGCATGGAAATCCACCATGATATTTCGTATCATATCGATTTTTTGATCACGTTTTAGGTCAAGTTGCTTGCTTTGCAAGACATTAAGTAATGAATTGGGGTAACAAGAAGTATAGTTTGGTAACGGCGTTGGGTTCAAAAACTTGGATTTGCCAGGAGATTGATGACGAATGTGCAGATTATTTCCCACGTTCAGTATGGCATCAACTCCAAATTTTAACTCACTACTGGATGACCTTACACTGCTTGCGTCACTGCTGAAACTGCTTCGGCGACTATGCTGTTCGAGCTGACATTGTGAGCAGTTACAGACTTCTTCCATTCTCGCGCTTGGTTGAAGACTGGTCGAACACAACCGTTGCAAGAGCAGTTGTTGAAGTTCATTCCAGGTGTCGGAATTCATTTTTTCTACACTCCTCTGTTTGTGAAAGCACTGTTTTTTAAAGGCCCTGTTGAACACGTGCCAGAATTGACTTGGTTATTGTACTTGATCAAAACCAGACACGCTGATTCACGCCTATCAGAACATGTGAAACCTCATATGTGATCCTCATATGTGTTTTGCGTCTCAAGCTGCATTTTCTGTCATGCCGTCGGACCAGGTAGAGTGCATTTGTCGGGCAGAGGGTGACTTCTTCTGCAATGCTGAAAGCTGATTGGACGACAGCTGACGAATCAGACAGACGCGGCCACGATATGATGAGAGGTGTGGGACAGCACGACCACGTCTTCTGATGAAGGAGTCTATGTAGAGCTGTTTGGCATTGGTTCAAGTGGTCTGACACTATGATGGGGATGAGAAAATTGCTTGTCTTAAGCGCACAAGCCAAGCGGTCCAAGGCATAATTTAAAGATGGGGATAACACACCGCTAGAATAACAGAAAAGCTACACCATAAAAGCGCACCAAGAGACTTTCAATGTTTTTCTTGAAATTCAATGAAGAGGTACTTAACGGTTACACCCAAACCGTCACAAAGGTAGGAATGTCAATTTTGGAGAAATCTTGTGGGCTTACACCCCATACTGTCCCGAAAATCACACTTGTATCCGAATATCGCAAACAGTCGGTTAGTCTGCTACGGAATTTCTGTCTTATGCAGAGTTACGACTCCGTGAACAAAGCCCTACGGCAACCGGGTGCAGTCAAACGGGCCATTTCGGTTGTTGCTATTCCGCTATTCACTATGGTTCGTGTGTCTGTCTAGGCCAACTAGGATGTGAAAGCAAAGTGAAAGTGACCCGGCGTCATCATGAACAATTTATCTTTTGGCCGCATCGCCAAAATTAAGAGTGAGCGGCAAAACAAAGCAACCTACAACGCAACGATATTCAGGCATAACAAGATAAAGTATTGTACTTATTGGAATGGATGCTCAATCTTGTTTCCTCCCACCTTCCAGCTTGTTTCCTTTCACTCGATAATGGATCTGTCAGGCATAACAAGATAAAGTATTGTACTTTCGTCCCACCTCCCAGCTTGTTTCCTTTCAGTCCGTAATGGATCTTGGAAGTACTCCACCGAAGGGTTCCGTCCATACTAAATAATTGACACTGTGAAGCCAAACCAGAGGAGGAAGAGCAGTAGGATAGTGTGCCGGATGTTTCTTAACTGTCTAACGTGAGAGTCGACCTGTGAATCTAGGTCAACGGTAAAGAAGCCTTCCACCGTACGCCTCATTCTCAGGGAGTAGGTAAGCTAGACAGGGAAGTTGAAACTTCCACAACATCAGTTCCCTGGGATTTGTTTTCTCAAGGAACCAGAGAGAAGAAAAATTCCGTACCGCAAAACTGCCGAATGGAGTAATTTATTTCCTCTTGCGACGCTTTCTCCTGAAGAAGTGAAGAGTCGAATTTCACTGTGGGGTCACAGAATGACCAAATCAATAGCATAGCTAAATCTTTCGCACTATGCTACCTTAACACATTCCTGTAAGTTAATCGATTCAAAACTGCAAAGAATTAGTGTACTCTTTAGAATTGCTGCGCATCCCATTTACGTTTACGTACCCCGTAGTGACACCTCCCATTAAGGCCTGAATGTGAGACTCTTCCGGCCGGTCACAGCACAGTATGCATTGGCAACCTAAGATGTTGCACCTGACCGACTGGCTTCGGGGGTAAGCAGCGAAAACCGTTACAGATTTGGACTTGGTCGTTTCATGACTCTGCATCCACAAAAGATTTACTGCGCTATCAACGCATTATTCTGACGTGAATCGGATGTTTAGATGAGATAATTACGAGCATATTATCAGAATTTGACAATTGTAAATTTGACTATTACGAACGACACAGATGATATCTTTGGGTTGTTAGATAGGAATGGAAATTCTCAGTACTTACAATTATCCAATTCAGAGAGTGACCGCCTCTTATTTCAGGGATTACACAGGATCCCTTAGTGAGCTGTCTGATTTTTCAGCAACCCTACGAGTAGTGTGTTATGTCAGGAAACTGAAAATCTCTCTACTATTATGATTCTTTCATTAACCTGATAACAAAAACTCATTCTACAATTGTATTTGATTACTTATTTGCAGAGGTGTTTATGGTGCTTCTGGGGGCTTATCGAGTAAACCGAAGCAGTTCTTTCTGTGAAGCTGTCGCCTATCCTTCAGTTGCCGATGCAATTGGTACGGCATCGTGTTTCATTAATGCAAATTTTGATGTCCAGCAACATAACGGTGGAAAGCTTTTGACAATTTATCATTCCTTTATCTTTTTTTGTCCTTTTACCACCTACTCTACCACCTGCAACTTCCACTTCATGCTATGGCACACGAGCACGCTATCAACAAATTCTGTAGATGCATCATGACTGAACTTGATTACAACCCCTGAAGGAAGGGACCAAATCGAATGCACCAGTCCAGAATGTTGAGATCAGCTCGAACTCAATGATGAGCTTCACAGATGGACACCATATAAAATATTTCCCCAACTGTTTTATTAAAGGTCGAAAATTTTCCCTTTGGATAGTGTTATGATTGCATGGGTTTGTCTTTCCCTGATGCATCTCTTGATAGGCCTGTAGCGGATAATTCTTGGTATATGACTTGCATATATTCCACACATCCAGAGTTATTATAACTTTATGAACTTCTCAATAATACTCACAGCGAAAGAGATCTAGAGTCAGTGAATAAAGTCTTTAGTGCACCAATGCCACCTCTGCGAGGACTCCCCTTAGGTGACAAACTTTCCCTGCTGATGACCTTAACGGCATGCGTTCGTGGGCTCCTAGCTAACCGATCTCTGATTGGACAGATGGAAAGGTCAAGGTTTGTTTCACCTAGCCCCACAATCAGTCTATCCTCGGCCTCTAAATGCACATACATGATCTAATTTCTCCGGTAGGAACAAGCCCCCATCGGACTACCTGACCAGTGTTATCAAACTCACGTCCTTGTTAAGTCGAAGGCGTAATGTGGATGGCGTCATCGTGGAATCTTTTCCGATCTTACTGACCACCTTCACCTCTGTGTCGTTCGGCGCACAATTTCGAACTCTGTTCAGTCCGTTTCCTAACCTCTTATCCAGTAATCTTGAGCCATGTACTGCATGTGTTCCCATATTTAACAAAGCACGACAACCAAGCCGTTGTATTTCAGCAGAATACTGGAAATGAGGGGCGCGTGAGCTATCTGACGGTTCGGCCTCTATATTGGTTCGTTTTATAAGACCAGTGATACGAGACCAGCCAACTTGCTCAAATTTGGGTCTGTAACGTCGTAGCTTACTTGATACACGACTGAAAATCGGTTGCCTTGCTTACAGCTAGCCGTCCAAGCCAAGCACGTGGGTCCGGATACTTATAGCAGGCCCAGCTTATCAGCTAGCATGACTCTATTAAGGCAGGCTTGACGTCAGTAGAACGACAGTTAGTGGACAACGTTGCAGTGGTGACTCGTGCTGTGCTGCCTTCAAGCCCATACGCGTAATTCGTAGACAGGGCCCGCTCCCAATTCGAAGGGCATTGATGTGATCTCAAGGTGAAAAAAATCCAGACCATGGTGACTAGCTTAAGTTCCTAATTCTGGGTCTTCGCGGTGAGGGGCTGATCAGCCCGTCTTGCCCAAGACGGTTAGTCACCAAAACCGTGTCCACCGCACGGAGCGTGACTTGGAATGGTGTGGGTCGAAGTTGGTGAAACACCTTGTTTTTTGGGATCACAAAGTCATTACAATTAGTTTTTTGTACCGTTCTACATCTGGTAGCCTAACTTTAAGTGGGTGGTATGAAGGAAGCCTGCATTAATCGGTGTGGTTTATAAGAAGTACTTGCTTCACGAATCTTCAGTGATTTGATCCTACAACATGTTGAACTGAGAGGTCAGCCTTCATTGGGCTCTTTCAAGAAGACTGACTACAGGCTGGGAGGCAAGTGTTTCGACAGTTAGTAACCAGGTTCTACCACTCGAGCAGTGTTTATGCGTTTTCGCACAAGGGTACCGAGGGTACCACTTTTTTTCGACTATCGTGAATGTTTCACTAAATCACAATGCGCTGTGTGAGGGGGGGTGCGTCTCGTAGTGTTAGATACGTTAACAAAATGGGCAGATAGCCAGTCAAACGTCTTTCAAACATAAGACTGCATATAGTGCTAATTTTCAATTGAACTTTCGCCATGTAATTGAAGACAAGCTGTGCTGTAAAGCCCAGAAGCACTGTACTGCTGTTTCATCATTGTCGCGTCTAGCAAAACCCAGACAGTTTTGAGCCATAGCTCTTCCAGCCAGTGGTTGAACACTTAATCCTTTATTTACGAGTGGCTGAACAGCAGTACAATTAGCTCGCATCTAGAATATAGCGCCATTTATCCTACAACCTCGGAAGTCACAACACACATTAACTGGCTCTTCGAGTGACGGATTCCCATCTTACCAGTTACCCCAAACCAATTTTGGTACGGGAGTTGTTCGCTCGAAATCCAGGCATATTTTCCATGAAAATAAATTGTCTACAGACTGACCTGTTCCAAAACTTCATTGGTTTCGTCAACATTAAAACACCTGATTCCGTAGGAATCTTCGTGATCCCCCTCTGTTATGGTCTGCCCAAACGACACAAAACATCGCACATGCAACTTTCGGGATCACTGTGAGTAGGGCCTAGCCATAACGACAGGACTGTAAGTAAGGTTATCACTGTGATTCTGGCAACGAACTGGTTTAAGAATACTGCTAGCCGGCACCCAACCATACCATAAAATCACCAAATTTCAGCCATAGTAACTATAAATCCTGATTCTCTTACGTAATTGATAACCGAAAAAACGTACCAATAGTCGAACATCCATCCTTCCGACTGTCTGGTCCGACACGTCAATCAATCAGGGTACCGGTTCCTCCCGTGCGTTTGGTACGATTCGAGTTTTCGCTTCTTTGTGTGATCATATATCCAATGTCAGCGAACCGGTCACTGGCACTCATTGGTCTGTCGAGTTAACTACTTCTTACGAAGGCCCGGCTGCTTGAAGCAGTTTCCAAAACTTTCACACCAACGGTTGAAGACTGGAATGCACATGAACGCTGATTGTTCAGTGATTTGAAAATAACCAATTTCAGAAGCTAATAGACCTCTTTACCGAGAGATTTCCTTGGAGCTGTCAGAGCAAAGGAGGCGTTTACTTAGGAATTACGGTTCTCTGACAGTCTGCGCGCTTAAACTGAGACTCCGACACAGGCTACTGTGAGCCCGCTAGTCATACCTTTTAAGCAAACCTGTCAACAAACTGTAGGTGTAGTTGAATGTGCGAGATGACGAGTGGCAAATTGTTCGCATTTGGCAGGAATGTGTATCCAACACACGCTGCTGTCAGGTCTCTGGATTAGAAATTCCAATTCTTTTCAGAAAAACGGCTACGACTTTGAATGGCGGTTAAAATAAGTTGACTGATAATCAATCGGCACAAGTTTCCAACGTAAAGACCCAACTCATACTTTAGGGCTATTGAACCGATGAAGTTCAACTATCTCTTAGCCATGAGGTTGCATCCACTTAACCTGGAGAAGAATGAATAATTGTTCGTTATCTACCAAAGACCATAATTTAATGGTACACATGACTGGAGGCACGAGGTGGAAGCAGTCCTCTGTGGTTATTCAGCGAAGGATTCCCGGAAAAGTGCATTAGCGGAGCGACCCATTCGGTATGTTACACATACTATGCGTTAAAATGTGCGCGTACAATGCTTGTGGGGCCGACTGATCTTGATCAAAGTGTCTCCAATTGCGTGTGTGCTACCGAGTAACGTCACACTGTTTTCGTGTTCCTGTTCAGCCAATGTACGCGACGTATCTCAATAGCAGGCAAATGGTGTACATGGTTTTCAACTCCACTGATGACCAGTGACCAGAACCGGGACACCTGTGCACAAATGAGCTTGAGGAAGAGCCTGTTAATACAAGCCAGATGCTAATCGTCTAACGCATCGACGCATACGGATGCGCACTCCGTCTGATAAACCAAGACGTGTGTTGGTAATGGACAGAACTCATCCAGATGTGTGACCATCATTGGCTGGCTTGGTGCGACCAGCAAATCGGCACGCTCTACAACTCTTCGGCAGTGGAATCAACAAGTGCTTTGTGAGCAGCACGGGCGACTACGTCGAAATAATGCGACCGTACGCAAATTGTGAGGTAAACGTCCATGAAACAATGCACTATTTCAACCAGAACCATAGCGAACACCAATCGTGTACGACCAAATTTTGTAAGATCAATTCACGTTCGTGGAAAACGGGAAATGTGAAGGGGGAATGTCAAACAACTAGAAAGGTTATGAAGGCTGAGGGATGATGTCGGGTCGCATGACATTTTGTGCTGTGTCAAGAAAGGTCCAGAGTAAAGGGCGAGGCAGTTGGCGCATAGAGTTCAATACTAGGATAGTGTCCAAGAAGTGGACTTGACTAGACTTTGATTTACATAATCTTCCGACATAGAGATCTTAAGGAAGCCGTCATTACAAAGGTAATACAAAGTGCCGATTGCGGCACGATCACGCACTGGTGCTATCCAAAGAACGACAGGTCCTGAAACGGCCCCCTCATTATGGTGCAGTTTTGAAATCAACGAAGCTCAGTGCCCAGCAGCTACTGAAGAAGTCAAAATTACAGAAGTTCCTAGTGGATGCCGCTCACAGTTTGTTCAAATCAACACGTAAAACACACTGGAAGAACACTGAACCAAGATAAAAGAACACGTCAGAACGGGTGCGAATAAAACCACTGGATTCAAAAGCGTCAAGACTGGTCTTATGAAAGTGATGCATTTAGATCTCCCCTTTGTCGACGGTATAAAAACAGCTTTCACTAAGACGTTCCAACCGCCACTGAGGCGATTAGCCCGCGAGGAACTCCGCAACACAAGAACCAAATTTTGAACCATCAAAAGCAGATTTAAGACTGAATAGTGGGCTAAAGAGTGCTAGGACATCCAATCGGATGTGTGTCAAGGCTGTCACATGATGCTCTGAAGGAAATCTGTGGACCAGTATTCAGACCGCCCGAATGCCTAATAAGTCTGAAGTCATACTGGCCACTTGAAGAGTACTTTTTTGAACACTACCAAACATCCCATGGAATCTGGATTCGGACTACTCTTCACTCGAACACCTGTGGAGATGAACCTCTCCAACCCATCTACGAAGGCGGAGAGAGCTTCGAAGACCGAGAACTAAACTGCAGCCACAAAAGACGGAGAATGTACATAAATATTCGAATAAGGTGGACCATTATTGAAAGGCAAGATTTTTTCACATGATTCGCACAACTAGAGACTGTAGATGTCCCACATGAATTCAAAAACACCACAGCTGTATCACAGTTCAAAGCAAAGAAAGCCGGCAGAAAACAGAAACTACTACCTGGGGGTTAGTCTTCCCTGCACAATGCTTTTCTGACAGACATCTTGCTTTAATGGAAATATAGATGCGTTTAACAACACATGTCTTTTAAACCCTACTCCATCTATACAGGTTAATGGCTGCCATACATAGGGTTGCGAAAATTTCCGCTATTTCGGCAACCCTAGTCCATAGACCTAACAACCTGTACACAACCTTATACTCGGGTTGCCAAGGAAAACCGTGCTATGTAGATGCGAATAGAGCAATCACAGTCGAAGTATGGGCTCCATGTACCAAGCGGTCTTACTGCCTTCACGACTGGATGACGGCGAAACAGGAGCACTACACTGACGGCACATTAAGATGCTCGGCAAAATTCACAAGGCTGTAGCTTATATAGTGTATAAGCTACGTGTACATGGTAATCCCCCAATTCGCAACAAAGACAACCCTAATTGTCATTGAAGAGAAGCATCTCTTCCCACCAAAGATCAGACACAGAATCCCAGCTTCGGGCTTTCTTATATTGAGACCCCACGTATGCCTATGACTGCTCGCAATTTACACAAGTTTGTTTCCAACTTTTTCAAACGTGATTTTCGGCTACACGAAGCTTATCTACTAAGGTAATCCCTTGAGCATAGACCCCTAGAAAAGGGAGTGCACTGTTCGGAATGAGGCACACTAGCATTGTCTGGCCTCCACGATTAATTAGACCGAGCAGCGCCCAGGTGGGTAGTATATGGAAACCTGATAAGCTATGTACCAACAAAAAGTTAAAATTAACACGGGAAACGTAGCAAAATTCGAGAACTGACGCATTATTTCCATCATCAGAGGAGTTTTCGAGTCGTTTTGTAGACCAGCGAACGGTTTTCATGCTTCTCGGCGCATTGTCTTTTAGTGCACGATGCCATCACCCTCACTTTACATGTAATACGAAAATAGTTAGACAAGAATCGATAAGAACATTTTAAAAATGGCTATGTAAAATGGTAAAAACTGATACCCGTACATGGGCAGTTTCTGTGGGAAACGCACAAACATTACTCTTAGAAAGACATGAATTACTGCGCTGTCCTTGTGAAGAAAAACCATCCTCTCGAGAACTTCCCCACTTCGTTCTAATAAATTACTCCGCGTACCAAATGCGCTGGCTAATACGGGTTGCACAAAAATGGTGCAAATTCATGTTTTACATATACACATTGCTGATGACTTATTTCTACTTTGCCGTAACACTGATATCTAGTCTAATAACTGAAATAAGAATAGAGTGGATAAAGGGTGCTATTAACACACCGTGATTCCGTCAGCCATTATTTCCACCATAAAGATGAAGTGTGGAATCATAAAGCTCTTATCAAACTCTATCCCAGTCAAACAAACCAACGCTAAACAGGGGGATGTATCTGTATTCAACAAAAACGCTCCTTGACAAATGACTGAATTCGGATAACATTACGAATCAGTTAGCAATAAGCTGATTCAAATAATCCCAAATTGTTTAAACAGATCCATAGACCCATAGCACCAAGTGATGATATATATAGGCAGTGTCCTGCACGATAATGCGGTGATGGTTATCCAGAAGTTGTGGGCATAGCAACTCAAATCGACATCTTGAAATCTGTGGGAAACTAATAAATGGGCGCCACACAGATGCGACCACACAAAGTGTCATGGGTGGCCGCAATGCACCCCACTAGCTGGATTGCTTGAGAGCTTCGAGTGTCCGATGAGTCTGTCTGTCCATCAACATCAGACAGGCTCTTACTGGGTGTCTAAAGGCCAAATAGTCCGCTTCTCGCACTGCGATCACGGTCGCAGGCGAATTGCCTGTGTTGCTGGTCTGAGCACGGTCGCGGCAGTTGCACAGCACTTGTGGGAAAATGCTCATTTCCCATGCTGAAAGAGAGCGTGTTAATCCTCAAACTGAGCCAACTCAACATATCGCTGAGGTCATGGGAGTTAACACGACCTTGGTGCTAAATTCAGTTAAATGCTGCCGGGTCATATATGAGGAGTGAAAAAATGGACATCAGAGAAGTCGAAAATTCAGCACCAGTGTGCCTTCGGCGTGGTCAGTGATTGAGTATACGATTGGTTCGTTCATTCACAAACGGAAAATTTGCCGGTATCCGGCCAGCATCTTAGGGAAAATGCCACAGGAGTTGGCGAGGAATATCGGATGTGTGGAATTAAGCGAAAGCAATGGCTGGCTGTTCAAAATTCAGAAGGTTCACAAAGTCTGCTCAGGTTCACTAAATGAGGAGGCGAATGAGGATCTATTAACCGCAATAGATGGAGCCTAGTGATATCCACAATGCAGACGAAGCAGCGTTCTTATAGAAAGCATTTCCGAATCGCAGTCTGACCATAAAAAGCGACTCGCGTCACTGTAGGAAGTTTCCGAATGAACGCATGACGGTATTTTTGTGTCACGGTGCAGCGAGCTCAAAACTGCTACCTGTGCTGATCGACAGGAGTCAAACGCTCAAATGTTTTAAAAGAGTACCCCGGAAACCTGCGAATTCAAAAAAGAGTTTTTTGGAAGACTATCTCAGTTTCGAGCAATGGATCCAAAGACCATACAACCAGATGTTTCTGGATAGTCGGATGGTCAGGCTGCTCTTAAATGAGTCTCACTCATCCGCGATCATCAATGAGTAAAGCAAGACTGATTTCTCTCTCTCCAAACACAATGTCGGGCCTGTGCTATCTGGATAACTAAACTAGACTGTTGTTCGCGACTGTTGAGCCACGTCACCCAGCTGATCACAGATTTTCCATTGGCATCAACGGCTTTCAGACAAAACATG